AGACCTTGACCAGACAACCTTTTCTCCAGACCTCAGCCAGACAACCCTTTCCTCAGACCTCAGCCAGGAGACTCTCTCATCAGACATCAGCCAGATGACTCTTTCTCCAGACCTCGATCAGATGCTCCCTTCCCCAGACCTCAACCAGGCAACTCTCTCTCCAGACATTAGCCAAACGGCCCTTCTTCCTGATCTAGAGACATCACTTCCTCAGACATCCTACACCTCTGAATCTAGTCAGTCAGTGCTTCTTCCAGAATTTGGTCAGACTATCCCTTATCCAGACCTAGATCAGATGCCATCTCTCCCACTATCTCCTACCCTAAAGAACACTTTTATGCCAAGAGAACTTAATCCACCCATTGTAGTAGGCCTCAGTGCAAATGATGGAGATTATATTGAGATTATTCCAAGGCAGAAGGAAGAGAGCAGTGAAGAATACATTGCTGAAATTGATTACGTGGCCTATGACAACCCTTACCAAACTGATACTAGGACAGACATTAACTCCTCCAGAAATCCTGACAACATTGCAGCATGGTACCTCCGCAGCAACAATGGAAACAGAAAATATTATTACATTGCTGCTGAAGAAGTATCCTGGGATTATTCAAAATTTGCTCAAAGGTTTGGCCAAATTTTCTCTTTTTACATTCTCATTTTTCTACTACTGCTAAAAAGATTGTTAAAGTCCAAGGAAATAATTCTGGGCAAATTATACTAAGTATAATTTAGGTCCCCTATTGCCACTTGCCCTATACAATTTCCTTTGTCAATTCCAAGGTTAGCTTCTCTACATTAGGGGACATTTGGACAATATTAGAACAATCACTGTAAGAAATCTATGATATTCTATAAAGAAGCCCCCTCTTCTCTCTTCCGCTCTCACCACACATGTTCCTACCCCCTTTCCTTGCCTCAGCGCAGAGCCCAACCTATCCATAGCTATCTGCTAATCAACATGATTTCATTGAAGTTGGCTTCAAATCCAAATTTGTAATGTAGAAATCTCCTTTTGCACTTGGTTATCAAAAAATATTTTTAAATTGTTTACTGATCAATGTAAAGTATACAGCATCTTGGTGACGTCTGATTCAAATTACATGAGATTCCAGTAGCAGAGGCCAAGGATATAAACCAGTTTAGAAAGAAAAAGCAAGTTTATACCTTCAACTGAGGCAGTCATTCAATGATGATTTACCTTGATTTAAACTTGAGTTTTAACTTGGCTTATAGAATCACTCATTTAATAACTTCATTTTTTAAATGAAGGTGTTACACCAAATGGCCCCCAAGATCCTCTTCGGATTTAACATTTCAGGGTTCCAGCCACTCTTAACCGTAGAGTTGAAGGAGTTCATGCAATTTTGTAAGTGGTCTAACTTACAGCAGAGAGTTTCCAAGGGATCCATAGACATTTTTAAAAGAGTTTTCAATTCAATTCTGCTTAAGGATGGAAAGCCATAATGGGCTGGACTCTGTATTCTGGGATGACAATATAGGGAAAGAAGAGAGGGAGGGACAAGGGGCAAGGCTACAGATTCTCAGGACACAGCATGGTGACCATGCTTAAACTGTCTAAATATAATACACAACTTTTACAAAAGCTAATGGTTACACTAAAAATCAAAAACCAAAGTGTAATTAGAGTAAGCAAACGCAATGCATGGTATGGCTTACAGACAAAAAAAAAAAAAAAAAACAAAACATTTCATTAATCTGATGTCTGGCATTTCCATATTAGAACTCTGTTAATTTAAAACACATTTTCAGGACATGTGGGTGGCTCAGTTGGTTAAACTTACAACTCCTGATTTCGGCTCAAGTCATGATCTCAGGGTTGTGAGGTTGAGACCCACGTCGGGCTCCATGCGGGGCATGGAATCTGCTTAAGATTCTCTCTCTCTCCCTCTGCTCTTCCTCCCACCCCCTCCCCCCAAAAATAATTAAAAAACACATTTTCCTATGACTTCCTATTTAAATGTAGCACCCATTGCTATATGAGAATAAATAGTTTATCTAGGGATTTCTAAGAGAGGCCCTGAAGGAGTAAGATTTAGGGCCTTTCCAAAGTGGAAAGGGATGGAACCAGTTCCTTCAAAATCTTATATACCATTCCAGATATGCAACCCATGTTTATGGCAGTCAAAGTTGCTTTACTTGTCCCCATGTGTTCTGTGAAACGATGTTATGCTTAGTGTCTGGAAGGATGGGGTCAGTAGGGTAGGAACACTGGAAAGAAGGCAGAATGGGTTTCTCTGTTGATGGCTCATGGTGCATAACAAATACTATGAGACTGATGGATGAGCTTTTGGCCTGTTTCCATAGGCTTGGGAAATTTAGGAGTCGGTGAGAAAATATGATGTGCTCTGGCCCCAGACTGAACTGGTGAATTACACAAGGAATAATGTCATTTTAAAAAAAGAAATGAGAGAAGAATGGCTACTTTCAGAGTATAAAACCCCCAGCCATCTAGTGGCCTTCACAGGGGTGACCATTGATACCTGACAGCCCCAAGCCCTGGCACTATCCAATTGCCTGGCTTTGTCTGCATCTGATATTAAAAATCTGCTATGTGATATATGATTGTATTTGTTCATTAATGCATTAAACAAAAATCTATCAAGTGCCTACTATGTGCCAGATAACTGGCTAGGTACTAAAAATAAAAGAATGAGCAAATTAGGCATGATCCCTGACCTCATGGGGTTTTCACTCTAATATTAGAGTCAGATTCGAATAGATAACCTCACAAATAAATGACATATAATTTACTATATATACTAGAGAAATATAAGAATACTACAGGAATATACTGTATATACTATAGCAACACTATGGAAACTTAAGGAATAATATAGAGAGATTTGACATATAAGGGTTTATAGGAGGACTTATCTAAGAAATGATATGTGAGCTCGGATCTGAAGGATATTTACTGGCTTAAGTTTTTACTTATTCATATTTTCATTCATTTGTTCTCCAAGTACCAATTAAATATTCATGCTAGATACTATACTCAGAAACAGGGATAATTCCCCCAATTTCTTTGAGTGGTCTTTCATTTGTTCTTTTAAACAGATAGTATTCTTCTTACTATTTCAGTGAAGACATTGATGATGTTCCAGAAAATACCATATACAAGAAAGTAGTCTTTCGAAAGTACCTTGATAGCACTTTTACCAAACGTGATCCTTTGGGGGAGTATGAAGAGCATCTCGGCATTCTTGGTCCTATTATTAGAGCTGAAGTGGATGATGTCATCCAAGTAAGTCATTTTTTGAGCATTGCTAAGATCATCAGAGGAATTTCCACAAGCACCAGAGGGCTGTAACAGTGAAAGGGGCAGGAGGGATACAGGTAATTTATTTTCCAAAATTAACAAATAATTATACTTCTTTTCAGAGACTGCTTGCCCAGTAATTAGATAATCTTCAAATAAAATGATCTCAAAAGAAAAGAAAAGAAAAGACAAAAATGATCTCATGAATTTATTTCTTCCTCTCCTGAGCTCCTGTTCATTCCATAAGGGCCAATTCTGTTTTCCCCAAGAGACTTTCTTTACTACCCCAACCTCTCCTGCACATTCAACTGAATTGCTCCTTTCAGGCATTCCCATCTAACTCCATTCATACTTTGTTTATGCACTTTTGGTCTCCAGGTTTTTAACTTGAATCCACATGTGCAGGTGTCTCTTCATCAGGAGGTTGGAAACTTATTGTGAGCAAGACCCAAAACTCATTCAATCTTCAAATCTGCAGCACCTGCTGTGATCATTTCCTTTGTGCCTAATGTCAGTACTTTTGCTTTGAGCCTAAAAACAAACATGTTTTGGTGTTTCTAGGGTAAGCTACTTGGGCCCTAGCTCACAGAATGTTGTAAAAATTCAATGAAATAATATACATGTTACTTTGTACTTGTATGCAATTAATATATCTCACTGTATATATATCTAGGTCTCATTTAATAATTAACCATCTACTTTGGCGTATAATTTGGATTTTTGTTGGACTTAAGTACATTTGTGGATCATTCTTTTTTCTAGGTTCGTTTTAAAAATTTAGCATCCAGACCATATTCTCTTCATGCCCATGGGCTTTCCTACGAAAAATCGTCAGAGGGAAAGACTTATGAAGATGACTCTCCTGAATGGTTTAAGGAAGATAATGCTGTTCAGCCAAACAGCAGTTATACATATGTATGGCATGCCACCACTCGATCTGGGCCGGAAAATCCTGGTTCTGCCTGCCGGGCTTGGGCCTACTACTCAGCAGTGAACCCGGTGGGTACACCCATTGAAAGTTTTTGTCATCCCCTAACCTCATAACCTGAGTCCACCAGACGGAAGGGTCAAGATGATTTCTCGTTAAATGTCTTGCTTTCCATGAGGAATGTGTAAGGATTATGGTCAACAGTCTATAGCGACTTGCCTTCAGATGACCGTGAGAGAGAAACATGTGCTCAGTGGCGAGGAATGAGGGGTACTGAAATGGTTGACCCCAGTCAGAGTGACTACCTTTGCAGAGGAAGACATTTTTTTCTATTTCCTTGAGCAAGTATTAGCTTTCTTTTGCTCTTTATGAGAGAGCTGCAAAGTCAAGATGCCTTCGTTTTGGGCGTGGTAGAGAGAGAGCACAGACTTTGATTTCAATCACTATCCTGTCACTTACTGTGTGGGCCTGGGAAAGTTACTTGACCTCTCTCAGCCTCAGTTTCTAAAGTTAAAAATGAGAAAACAGTAGGTACTTGGTAATATTTGTTTAATAAGTGAGCTTATTTTTATTATACAAGATTGTTGTCTGAATTAAAGAAGATATTACCAGCAAAATATTTACTATAATAGTAGATGCTCAATAAATAGTAATTATAATAGTATTGATATTGTCATTAACATTATCATTACTGCCATGCTGAGATAAAGGACTAATCAGAGGAAGGGATGATGAGTGCCACAGAATCAGATGATCAGATGATACCCAGGCTTAGTAAGCTCTTCATTTATAATCTTCAAATTCAGAGCCCCTGAGATTTCCTTTTCCATATCATCAGTGATTGTCAGAAGAGCAAAGGAAATCCTGAGAAAGAGAAAATCTGTGCATTTTGCTCCTACTGTCTTCCAGGAAAAAGATATCCATTCTGGCTTGATAGGTCCCCTTCTGATCTGTCAAAAAGGAGTACTTGATAAGAGCAACACACCGGTGGATATGAGAGAATTCATCTTACTTTTCATGGTCTTTGATGAAAAGAAGAGCTGGTATTATGAAAAGAAGGCCCAGTCCCCAAGGCCTTGGAGACTTGCATCCTCAGAAGTAAAAAACTCCCATGAGTTTCATGGTATTTTCCTCTCACTTTGATCTAATCTCTGAACTAAATCACATGGGATGACCATGATTCTTGCCCTAGGTCTTCATAAGATTAGACAGGAGGTGCTTCTGAAGAATCAGGAGCTACGACCCACACCAGGTCCTTAAATGTCTGAGGGCTGATGTCGCCCAGCAGGTGGTGCTGCACATATAGGAGCTAGAGAAGGTCTGAAAGAGAGCTCAGGAGCCTGCTGCAGAACAAACCCAACCAACCAACCAACCAACAAAAAGCCAGTGTGCGGCAGCTGGTAGCATGAGTCAAAAAGGAATTGGCATTACTCTGCAATATAAACAGTTAATAAACCTGTTCCTTGATCACTAAAGGAATGATTGTTTGTCTAGAAGAACTGATCATCCCTGTGTACTTTCTAAAGAAAAATGATGGTGGCAGTTCCAGCTGTCAGCAGTTCTCAGGTGGCATCCGAAGCATCTAGAACAAAACAAGATGGGACACTGGGTAGTTGGGTGATAGGAGAATCGTGGCAAGGGAGCATCTTTTGGGGGGGAGGGGGGTGACCATATGTACTCTGAACTCCTTTTCTAGGCTTTTCAGCCCAGGGCACTTGGTCTCAGGCGTGGGAAGCACACTCTTCTGAAAACCTTCCAACCTAGTGAGAAAGCATAGCCCCAGAATCAGATAGGCTTGTCTCTTGGCTATCCCATTACTTCTGAATACCCTCGAGCCACTGCTTCCCAATTCCTCAAAGAAAGAGTAAAATTCACCGGATATAGCTTAGTTTTAAATATATTGTAGTTGAAGTCTCTGTAATTAGGTAATCCCCATGGTGTAGTCTTTATCAGGGTACCTGCTGAGCAGACCACCTGAGTTCCCAGCCTCAAACTCAGCACCTGGCCTTTGCAGTATGTGTTCAGTAATTGTGTGTTGAATTACTGAATAAATGGATGAATTCTATCACTCAGTTTAATTTATCACATGTTTGCTGAGCACCTGCTATGTTGAAGTCTTCATTCCATATCCTAATGAGTTAGCAATGTTGACCTCAAGAATCACTTGAGATCTATTTCCTGCCCAGATGAGGGAGTAAGGACTGGTGTTAGGAGTGGGAAGACAGGTGCTCTCATACCTAATGTAACCTTAAGGGTGAGAAGATGATCTCAACTCCCTCCCTCCCCAAATTCACTTGCTCAGTTCCTGAAACTCCATAGTAGTTCTTTTAACTTTAGAATAACATTACTAATAAAAGCTCCACTCACTTCAATCTCAATTAAATGCATGGTAGCCCAAAGCTGTATCATTAACATTTTTTATTATTTTTTAAGGTGATTAAGTTTGTCAGGTGATTTAAGCACACACACACACACACACACACACACACACACACACACGTTTCACTGAGTGGAGAGTGGATGAAGCCTGAGAACCCTAGACATTTAAGCTGGGAAGGGGACAGAGGAGCTATATCATAGAAATGAGAGAATAAACATGAACCTCAGTCGTCTGCCTTCCTAATTTTGCCTAGAACTATCTCTGAATTTAGGAGGCCTCTGGGTGATGTGCTGTGTATCCCCTCACTCTCTTTCCTCTAACCACTGGAGTTCACTTATCTGGCTCATATCAGTCTTTCTGTTTCTGCAGCACAGGAAAATCCATACTGTAAATGTCAAGGATAAGTGAGTGAAGCAGAGAGCAGGGGGAGTGTGAGGTGCGGGTGGAGAATGGTAAATTCTGTGGGAAACTGCTGTAGGCTGGCATGAGGTTTAGCCTCTCACTGATATCAGAACACCCTGGGGTCCTTACTATATGCCTGGGCAGGCGGAGCGATAGGAAGATGGGTGGTAAGGTGGGATGCCTCAGACCTCTTTAGCAGCCTCCCTGCAGATTTCTAATTGATTGCAACTCTCTGTCCTTTCAGCCATTAATGGAATGATCTACAACTTGCCTGGCCTGAGAATGTACGAGCAAGAATGGGTGAGGTTGCATCTGCTGAACATGGGCAGCTCCAGAGACATTCATGTGGTTCACTTCCATGGCCAGACCTTGCTGGAAAATGGCACTCAACAGCACCAGCTCGGGGTCTGGCCCCTGCTGCCTGGTAAAGATCTGCACAATGAAAAGAGATCCCTGATGAAAAATGGCTAGAGAAGGCAATCTGGGCAACTGTCACTGTCCCTCATTCCCTCCTATGCATTTACTTCCTAAGGGTCAGACATGGTTTCTGGCATAGATCCTGGGCAGAGACATCTCCCCAAACTGCATACAGAGTACAGAAAAGTCAGCTAATATATACACTCTTTGTGGCACCACACAGACTATATGTGGGGCTCAACTCAGTTCTACAGAGATGCTATGTCTAATGCAGTTTTTCCCAAGCCACTGTGTGTCACATAGGCCAGGTCTTAAACAGATTATAAAAATGAATCCCACAGGGCTCAGGCAGCTAAAGCTTTCTGTTGGGAAGGAGATTAAAAACTTACTAGGGTTTTGGGATTCTTGAATTCTTGAATTCTATTCCTCACACTCTCACTTTGATACCTTTGGGCAAGTGACTACAGGAATCTTAATCTTAAACTGACTCAGGAGGCTATTTGAAGGGGAAAAAAGGTTTTTTTTTTTTAATGATTATAAACGCTAAAGGATAAGAGGGGTATTTAGAACTTTTCATGTACAAAATAACGAAAAGGTTTAAACAAACCATCCATCACAAAGGATTTTTATGTGCCAGCAAGTTGTTTGTAGGTGTATCTGTGTGGTAGGTGTGTGGGTAGGGTTATGAGTGCTAGGTGCTGCTGAGTCTCAAACTGTGACGGGCATAGTAAAATTCTAGGAAGCTGGTTAAAATGCAAAGGCTAAGGCAGAGATTTTGCTTTCGGAGACTTTGATCTGGTAGATCTTGGGATCTTGGGCAGGTGCCAGGGACTCTGCATTTTTAACAAGCAGCCTACCTTCCACAAGCGCTCTGAGAAGCTAGTGAAGGCAGTCAGTCCCTCGCCGCTTTGGATGGAGAAGTTGCTATGTGAGTCAGCCTTAGAAGGGCACAGCAGTCCAAATGGGACTGGTTTGGTTAAGAAGGAGGAAAGGGTGTTCTTGTTTGTTTATTCAGGCCTGTGGCTCATTAATAAAGCTATAAAGACTCACTCTCTTAAAATCAGAGACAAGAGGGGATTAGGTAAACTTACTCCTTACTTTTCACCGAATGTAATTTGCCAGATCAGTCCTCCTTTCCATGAGCCTGTGGGAAACACTGAGAAGCTGGAATTGGCTGGCCCATCCAAATCTTCGAATCTAAATTATCTGTATTGGAGGGAATGGAAGGCTGCAATCTTTTTAGTGTGCTAAAGGAGGATGACCATCGGCTATTAATTTTCACTCACAATCTGGAAAATAGACATGAATTACGGCCAGCAGAATTTAAGTGTTATCTGGCAATGGGTAGCATTAAATATCAGAATGGATAATCAGAAGTTTCAGAAATGTCATTCTTTCAGTGATTTTCTGAAACAATTTAGGTGCATCTCTATCCAAATATGTAGACTTAATAGAAAATTTGAAAACATGGGAGAAGGATGTTTGATTTTAATTTTCTTATTAAAAAAAAGAAAAGCCAAAGAAATGGGAGAGAAAGGAAACTTGTACGGTATTCTTGAGGCCCAGTGATGAGTCATTCAAGGTCGTTTTCATCCTTAGGACTCAGAAGCTGTGCTGTGTATGGGTTAGCTTGTAACATTATATATAGATAACTGAAAGTTTCTTTCTAGTAAGGGGTGTTAGAGATTTTTTTAAGTCCCTGGGCAATTTATTTTTACTAATGTGTATGTGTGTCACTGCTTTGTTTTGTTTTTCTGTTTGTTACACCTCTAGTCCTGCCTAAGAGAAATGGATCATTCTTGATTTCTTTTCCAAAGCCTCTTGTGATGTAGGGATTTAGGATTCTTTGATAGCTGTCAATTAATATTGTTAATTTGGGGTGTGTAATGTTGTCCTTCACTCTCTATTTTAGGTTCATTTAAAACTCTTGAAATGAAGCCATCAAAATCTGGCTGGTGGCTCCTTGATACAGAGATTGGAGAAAACCAGAGAGCAGGGATGCAAACACCATTTCTCATCATAGACAGAGGTACCATCCAAGAGCCACATGATGTTTTCAGCAGGAGGGTCCCTGCTGGAACATCACTAACTCTTAGATTGGAAATATTGAACTCTGGGAACTCTGCATGACAGAGGGAGAATGTGTACCAGTAACTGCTTTTATTTTGACCCATCGTCAGATTGTGCCACAAACATCAATCTCCTAGGAAACTTAAACCACATATTTCAGCCCAAAGGCATTCTCAGTTGGGGAACCAATACAAAGTGTCTTCCTTCATAATGTGTGATTCGTGGGAAAGTGTAAGAAATTTTCCAGACTCCTTGAGTAGAGGAGGGATAAGATACCAGGAATTCAACAATGACTAGGATAGTCTCTGAACTTGGCATTTCAGTATTTGAGAAATCATTTCCATCTGCCTATCTGCCCAGCCAGCCAGGCAGCATTTATTAAGTACTTGTTGAGTACCAAGCACTGTGTTGACATCCAGATATCTCAGTGGCTGGCATTTTCTTTTGTGATCAGAATGTAAATAACTCTGTAACTTTCAGGTCAACTTTTGGGAACATAGACTTAAAAGGGGTAATACTTAATGTTGTAAAATGTCTTATTTTAAGATACAAGCAGATGGAAATCCATTTAAAACTAATTGAATTTCGGGATTTCCATGGTTTTCCTCTAGGGTATCACTATTTCTGTTAAAGACTAGCACCAGTCTTGCTAGTACATTTACCATTTTATGATCAGACATATTTAAGTCGGTGCCATATAAGGTAGGTGAAGCTATCGAATTGCTGACTCACCAGAGGTATGATCTCTAGCCATGCAGCTTTTGTGTTGTTATACGTATTTTCTAAGCAAAAATTACTCATTGCTCTGTTTGTGTGTGTGTGTTTGGTTTTTGTTTTTTGTTGTTGTTTTGTTTTTGTTTTTGTTTTTTGTTTTTTAGAATGTAAGATGCCAATGGGACTAAGCAATGGTATCATAGCTGATTCACAGATCAAAGCTTCTAAGCATTTGGGTAAGTAATAGCATCATAGCCTTTGGAAGCCATCTCCTACAGTTGTGCAGTATACAGCCTGAAAAACAACCCATGACAACCCTACCTGTTCAATCTATGGATCATTGCTCCTCTCTGGGCTTTTCTCTACCACATGGTAAAGCAGCTCAATCTTGAGGTGCTCATCTGGTAGAGGAAGAAGCAATATGACAGGCGCTAAAACCTGTTGGCATTCCTTTATCACTGCCACCCTCTCTGGTGTATAATGTTCCCAAAGAGTCTGTCCCAGGGAAGACCAAGAGCTAGGGCTTTCTACACAGGCAGTCCAACTTCTCAGCAGGGATTGAGCAAGGAGTGGATCCCTTACTCCTACAACCATGTACCCGTTTCCAAAACTCTCCCCATTCATCCCCATTCCAGGTTTGATCACAAACATAATATTCCAGCCAGATTCACAAGGTCTTATTGGCCAGATACTATTCTCCCAATTAATAAGGCTCTTTGTTGTGCTAACCATTCCTCTGTTCAAGAAAGTTTGCTAATCACCCACTGTGTGTCAGGATCTCCTTCTAAATTTCCTCACTCTGCCTCAAAACCCTTCCTAAGACCAAGAGGTCAGTTGCAAGGGATCATGAGGCTCCCATAATCCCTCCCACAACCTCCCCTTAGGCAAGCACACTCAGTAGCAACCACATCAACATAACTGAGAAAAGATAAACGTAACCTGTATGCAAGAAAGGGGGTGGGTGGTGGTTGACAGCTGACCAAGCACTGACCTGAAGCCAAGAAGGTTTCATCATCATGAACTGACTTAGTAGCTGAGGCCCCTGTCAACTGCCTGGTCTCCTAACTTCAACAGAAGCTCCTGCAGAGATCTGGTTTTCCACTGGGACTAAACTTACTTGGGAAATTGCTAGTTATATGTTTTTGGTTTGTTTTTTTTAATTCAGAATAAATTTTTTTTCTTTTTTGGATTTAGGTTATTGGGAGCCCAAATTAGCAAGATTAAACAATGGTGGGTCATATAATGCTTGGATCACAGAAAAATCTTCAGCAGACCTTGTTTCTAAACCTTGGATCCAGGTATATCTTATTAACCTGATAATATTTACAGTACCGTAATAATAAAATGACAGTGATTTAATTTCTCTTTGTTCTTCTTGCAATGTTCTAGGCACTATCCTAAGTACTTTACTTATTCAAAAATGAACCCTATGAGATTAGTTCTAGTAATAGCCTAGATATCCTTTGTACAGATGATAAAAACTAAGGCACAGAGGGACTAATTAAGTGCCAAAAGTCACGCACAGCTGGTAAGTGGTTGAACTTGGATTCGAGTCCAGGTACTCTGTGCTCACATATGGATTGTATCTAGCCATTTGATTAGCGCTTAGACCTTAGGTGCTGGCTGTTTAGTTCTAAAGAATGCTGGTTACACAGTGAATTAAGGAAGGCAGTGTGTGACTCATTGACAAGGACAGACTGTGTAATGGCTTTGCTATATTGCAGGTAGACATGCAGAGGGAAGTCGTATTCACAGGGATCCAGACTCAAGGTGCCAAACAGTATCTGAAGTCCTACTACACCACAGAGTTCTCTGTGGCATACAGCTCTGACCGGACAAACTGGCAGATCTTCAAAGGGAACAGCACAAGGAATGTGATGGTCTGTGTGCCTTGTTTGTTTCTGAGTCTCAAGACTCACCCTAGGCTCACCAGGTTGCAATGACTATGCCTATCATTATGTCTTTTTAAAAAATACCTTTCTGGGCAGTTGAAATACAAATGGTTTTCTTAGGGCCTTATGAAAGAAAGTTGTACAATGATAGGTCTGTTATTATAAATTAAAGGCATAAGCCTGACTTATGACACTTCAAAACTCTACCAAAAATCACTTTTTGATCAAACTAAATACCCAGACTTCTCTGACTGGCAGATGGTGGACAGCAGAGTCTTGTGTCTTAAGGGGATCATGCTAAAAACTGGCCTCCAAGAGTTTTGATTATACTAACTTTTACATTTTATTTTGTTCTGTTTCAGTGTACCTGAAGGAAATAGCAATGTTAATACCAGTTATGTGCTGGGGCAGTGTGCTTTTCAGACTTTTTTTTTTTTTTTTTTTTGCTGCCCTGACTGAGGAGTGACAATCCCCTGCTGGGTCTTTCTGAGACTCAGCCAGGATTATTCCCAAAAATCCATGTGTACCAGCCCTAACTCCTCTTCCTCCCTAATCCCCTTTCCAAAGAGAGCTATCAGAATGTAAGGAGTCAGTCTGCCATTATTACACTGATAACTTTCAATCTGTTTCATTTTTCCTGTAAATTATTTACTATTTTACTAGTGTCTGTATTATCATATCTCTAGTAATAAATTATTTGCACTATACCTTAGAATAGATCATGAAAATCTCAAATTGTAGCCCTTACTAATCAGTCTTGGAGAGAGAACACAGACTACAGTTAGAGTTCATAGCTTCAAGACTTTTGCACTTATATTCATGAGGAATATTGGTGTGTAGTTTTATTTTTTTGTACTGTCTTTTTCTGGTTTTGATATCAGAGTCATACTGGCTTCATAAAATAATTTAGGAAGCATGCTCTTCTGTTTTCTGGGAGAGATTTTCTAGAATTGGTGTTAAGTCTTTAAATATTTATAGAATTCACCAAACTACATGGGCCTAGAGATTTCTTTTCCAGGAACTTTTAAATTACAAATACAATTTCTTTAATAGTTACTGGCTGTTCACATTATCTATTTCCTATTGGATAAGCTGAGATGGTGTTTTTCTAATTGATCCATTTCCTCTAAGCTGTTAAATTTATGTGCATAGAGTTGTTTGTAGTATTCTCTTATGCTTTTGATGTCTGCAGGGTCTACAGTGATATTGATATTAGTGAATGTGCATCTCTTCTCTTTTTGCTTTGTCATTCTTGCTAGATATTTGCCTTTTTTAAAAATCTTTTCAAAGAACTGGCTCTGTTTCATTGTTTTTATCTATTATTTTTCTAGTTTTCAGTCTTGCTGCTCTTATTTTCTGTTTTAGCTGGCACTTTCTGACACTGGTCTGGCAAGGAAAGGGGCTGGGGCACACCTCATCACTGCCAGGTGGACTTCGAAGTCCAGGTTCCCCACTGAAGGAGGACCGCTCCTCTTTGCTGTTGGGTGGGAATGGGAGAGTCTCCACTGATACTAAAGTGGTGGGAGCCTTATTAGGAGCTGGTGGGGATGAAAGTCCTGGGTTCCTATTTGGCCTTCTCTGACACAATCCCAGTGAGGGTGTTGGGGTGCCTTGTTACAGTCTTACAAGCATGGAAGTCTAGGCTCCCCACTTGGCCTTTGCTGTTCTGGGTGGAGGAGGGGCCACGGTGTTTTCTATGATGTTTAGCTAGAAGTAGAGCAATCACTGTCTGAAAGTTTTCTGTCTTGCTAGACTGCCCTTTCCTGGTCCTGTGGCTAGAGAAAGGAAGATTTTGCCAGAGCTTTTTTGTGTGTGTCTGTACCCAGTGGTGTTTCCTGGTTGCTGGCCTCTTCACTTCCCAATCTGGGATATATGAGACAAAAATAAAACCCAGGGAGCCCACTACCATGTTGTTCCTTGGGTCCCAAGAACCCTAACCCGTCTGCCTTCTTCTCTTCATCTTTCAGTGGCTTCCTATGTTTTAGTTGTACTTAGCAGGAGGAACAAGGCAAAGTACATCTACACCATCTTCCTGAAGTGAAAGTATCTCCAGTTATTAAGACCAAGTGATTTAATTCAGGCCACATGAAAACTTAATATGACAATATTAAATTAAACTGAAATTTTATTATAAAATCACTTTATAAAGAATTGTTCCATAACTAAGCTTTCCTCTTTTCCTCTAGTATTTTGGTGGCAATTCGGATGCCTCTACAATAAAAGAGAATCAGTTTGACCCACCTATTGTGGCTAGATATATTAGGATCTCTCCAATTAGATCCTATAATAGACCTGCCCTTCGATTGGAGCTGCAAGGTTGTGAGGTTAACGGTAAGAAACGAAGATGCATTATTGTCCCGCTGCTTCCTAGAGAATCAAGCTTTAGTAGATACGGAAGAATGGGTAGAATTATTAGTTCTCTTCAATCACAGAGGTGCCTAGAAAAACCTTGGTGAAACAGGTTCTGCTCAGGTAAACTACTCATTTACATTGTGACCTGGACCAAGACTGTTCTACCAGCCAGCAGGCAGGCACCATCTCCAAACAGTGCCAGGATGACATGGATGCTGACATGACCCTCCAAGGAAAGGCCCTAGCTTCGAATAACCTCCATTGGCCCATTTCAATAAGAACTAAGATTCAGACTAGGCCCGAATCTTCTGAAGTCCAAAAGGTCACACTCAGGCTTTAATGTAACGAACATATCTAGCAACATTACTGGCATGTATTAGATGTTCAGTGAATGTTTTTGAAATCTAAACTGCTTACCAACTTCCTGAAACTTTTTTTTAAGATTTATTTATTCATTAGAGAGAGAGAGAGAGAGCTGACGGGGAGGGGCAGAGGGAGAGGGAGAGGGACAGAGAGAATCTCAAGCAGACTCCCTGCTCAGCACGAAACCCGAGGCAGGGCTCGATCTCACGACCCTGAGCTCGAATCAAGAGTTGGATGCTTAACCAGCTGAGCCACCCAGGCACCCCCCCCTCAATTTCCTGAAACTTTGATTGAACTCTGCATTCTGTTTGGCGCTCTATAAAGGTACTCAAGCTTTTTCTATGTAAGCTGCTGTTTTTCAGGGGATATAATGTGACCTATGGTATAAATAAATCCAGGTAATCATAAATGGCCATAATAAAATTCTATTATATAGAACAAAGAGTCACTGTTTTTTTCTTTATATGGTATGTGATGTAAATAGTAGTTTGTTCAGATCAGAGTCAAACAATCTAAAATGTGACATTCAACTCTGTTAATCTATTCAAAACATCTATTTTCTATTCAAGAAGCATTGCTTTTTAAAAAATCTCTTCATTTTCTTGATATAATCAGTATTAGCAGTAGGTTTTCTTTTTTTTAAATCTTTTTTTGATGGAGAAAGATATCACTTCAAGAAAATGTCAGCATGATTTACCCACAAGAACAAAGCGTCAGAGAGATGATGATGATGATGGGCAGTTGGCTGGGCTCACTCACTAGCTATTTTTCTCATATCCACAGACCAGCTTTGAGGACTGACATGCAAGTGCACACCTTGGCAAAATTCTAAATGGTGCATAACATGAATCACCCTCAAAGGGTTGAAAATAAACTGTTGAACGTGACTACCAAGAGTCCACTGTATCTTCTTCTTTGTAGCATTTTTTAGAAAGAGAAATAGAATATATTCTTATATACATAGATAACGTAGGAATATTTTCTACCTCAAAGAAAAGACGGAAGTTTCCATGACTCTCTGAAGGAGGAAAATGCGTTTAAATATTTAGAACATGGTGTTTGGGTATCAGACTTCCTGGGCTCCAATTTAGTTTCTGATTCTGCTAGTAGTGTTACTTCAGGCAAATTACTTTTTCTTGCTGTGCTTTTGTTTTCTCACTTGTAAAATAGAGGCAATTAGGAGCATCAGGTAACACACGTAGAGCCTAAAAACAGGATTTGGCACTTAGGCAATAACATCATTGTTGGTGATGGTTGTTTTTGTTGTTACTTAGTAGTGATATTTTTTCTTTTCTCCTCGCAGTGCAAACCACCATGCAGGGAATAGTGGTAGTGCATAATTAATCACATCACTTTCTCTTGACAGGATGCTCCACACCGCTGGGTATGGAAAGTGGAAAGATAGAAAACAAGCAAATCACGGCTTCCTCGTTTAAAAAATCTTGGTGGGGAGATTACTGGGAACCCTTCTGTGCCCGTCTTAATGCCCAGGGTCGTGTAAATGCCTGGCAAGCCAAGGTAAAATCCGCCTATGAATGGAATTCTCTCAGCCGTCCAGAAGAAAGCAAAGGCCCTCACTACAGGAACCATGGGGGTCCTGGGAAGTCAGAAAATAATCTCCCGTTTCTGCAGATTATGATCCTAGGTCTGAGAATCTAGGATATCTATTGACTTGATAACTTTAGCTCTGACTTTGGCTCAGAGAGGTTATTTATCATCTCTGTGGTTCTTGGTCTAGTCTTGATTTTTATCAGGGGTGGGCAAATTTCTTCTGCAAAGGACCAGATAATATTTTAGACTTTGTGAGCCATACATTTTCAGTCATAACTACTCAACTCTGCCATTGTAGCAGGAAAACAGTTATAAACAATACATCAATGAGCATGGCTGTGTTCCAATAAAACTTCATTTACAAAAACAGGAAGGGGGCCAAATATGGCCCTTGGGCTATAGTTTGCCAACTCCTAATTAAAACAACTTATATTAGTGATAAATGATTCAGATTTGCAGCACTTTCTTTTTTTTTCACAACTTAACAATACTTTTCATTTTCTTAATAGCGCTATTTAAATTTTTTTTGTTCCCTTTTTTTGAGAACTTTGTGACATTCCTTTAGACAGTTGGAGGCATGGCAAAATGCTGCAAAACCAGGGTTATAAATCAGTGGCCTAAGTTTAATAAGCATCTTCCAGAGAGTCATATTGCCCCTAATATTAACCCACTGGATAATTCCAGTGACTTAGTTTCAGGATAACAGTTAATAGTTGACTCATTTTTATTTCACTCTTCAACTGACTTGAAAAATCACAATGGCATCAGAAATCAGAATGATTCTGTCAGTCAACTTAACCCTTCCTTATTTTCTATTCTCCTATGTCCCTCCCTTAAGATACCTACATTCCAGTTCCCTGGACTCCATAGAATTCCAGGTCCTATCCATATGTTAGGCTGTCAGCATAGTAGTGGAGAAAACGGAAGAGCTTGGACCCCAAACAGGTAGTCTTGGGAACTGACATCTGTGTCTCGAAACTCATTTCTGGTCCATCACAGACTCACGGAATGTAAGAACAGCAAGGGGTTTAAAAGCGTCCGGTCCAGACTTTTTCTTTTAAGTTTAAACACAAAGGAGATTAAATCATTTTAGCGTAGTTTGGTGGCAGAATCAGGAAGCCCATTCTCCTGATGGTCAGTGATCCTCCCACCATTTGAAGACACTCAGACACCTCATTGTGCAATTTTGCAGAAGGGGAAACAGAGACCTAAAGAAGTTAAAATAATAAAAGTAATGATGTTATAATACATTATATTTATATAATTATATAAATAAAATAATTAAAAAATGAAAGAAAACGTTAAGGAGAAAGATGTCATCCAATTTTTTCCCAGATAACTCTTTAGATCTGCTCATGGTATAACTTTGTCACCCTACCCTGTATTTTACAGCTTTTTGAAAAATTTTGCTCTGTATATAATTTGCTCTTAGTCTTTGTGATATAATAATGGCTTCAAAGATGAAATACTAATTCTAAATTTTAATGCCATCATTTTAAATCTGGAATTCTAGATCAGAACTGTTTCACTTCATCTTCTATTAGAATCAAATATCTTTATAGGGTCTCTTTAGAGAGGGTAAAAAAATATCAGCCAGACTGAGGCAGGCACACATGCATACTGAGGCATCTCTGCCTCTTTTATACCTATAAAAATTGTTATGTCTTCAAAACCCTCTAGCTCTCTACCTCTGTATCACTGGTACGACCTGGATTGGATACTACACAGCTTGAAGATACACTAAGAAACCACCAAATGTCACTAGAGGGTGTTACAAAATTAATAAAAATTAATTAATACAATAATTTTAATTCAATTAATTTGCTTTAAAAATACATATAGTAGATGAATTATACATATATCTGTGTATCAATATATACACATACATACATGTACACATAAGTGATGTTAAAGAAATATATCACTATTTATTATTTCATATAGAACTGAATGAGACTATGGGGCATGATAAATCTCCCAAAGGTGAAAATTTGTCTCAGATTACTCCAAAACTCAGTTAGCCCTTCTGATCCTCTTTCTCCAAGTATGATTAGGCACTTCATTAGGCCAGAGACAGGACAGCTACCATACCATACCATATCAAGTCCTAGTCATGGCTTTATTAGGTCTCTCAAGTATTACATTTATTTGAAATATCAGAAAAAAGAAATTGGACTACTCCTCCTGGTTGACATAAGCAAGGGAAAGAAAAATGGAACTTTTCCTAAAATAAGTTAGAGAGAGGATGCTACCCAATTCTTTCCCAGATAACCCATCAGCAATATCATCATGGCATTTAAACAAATTTGGTTAAGAGAATAATATTTACAGATAATTTAGCAATCTAATATTTTTTCTCAAGTAAGATTCATTTATTTATTCATTCAAAAAATATTTGTTGAACACCAACTGTGTGCCATGCATTGTGCTAAGTACCTGAAAACAAAATACAGTAAATCCGTGCCTTCAAAGAGGGATACAAATAAGTAAACCATTATTGTACAATATATGAAATACTCTAGTAAAAGTTTATATACGTCTGCGACAGCAAACAAGAAGGAACAGGGAAGTCCTCTAGGAGACAGAGAACCCTAAGGGCTGAGACAGAAAAGAGAGCCTTTGAGGGCTGCGCATTTCTGAGTATCTTGGTCTAAAAAATTGAAGGTTTTAACATCTGCCTTATTCATGTGTCCTCATCATTTTCACAGGCAAACAACAACAAACAGTGGTTACAAATTGATCTGCTCAAAATCAAGAAAATAACTGCGATTGTAACACAGGGTTGCAAGTCTCTGTCCTCTGAAATGTACGTGAAGAGCTATAGCATCCACTACAGTGACCAGGGAATGGAATGGAAGCCTTACAGGCAGAAATCCTCCATGGTGGACAAGGTACAGGGTGCTGTCATGGCAACAAAGCAACTCACCAACTGTTATGATGAGAGAAATACCTTACATTTGCAAACAGCTCTTTGCATTTGACAAATATGCACTGACATGCACCTCCTCCCTGAGAAGTCTGAACCCTCACTCAGCAGGTAGCTGCTCTGGGAACAGAGACCATGCAGGTCATCTTTCTGAGGTGGCTGAGCCACCTGTGAAATAGTGAGAACCAAACACCAGGGGGCGGTGTGAGGCTTAATTAGCTCTGATTGAGAAAGATGGTAGCATTGTCTCAGTGGGCTTCCACTGCTCTAACAAATGATCATAGATGGAAGCAACAAACACTTCTTTCTCACAGTTCTGAAGGCTGGAATCCAAGAGCAGGGTGCCAGGATGGTTGGGTTCCTGGTGAGGGCTCTCTTCTTGGTTGTGTCCCCACATGACTTTCCTTGGTGCAGGAAGAGAGAGATTCCATGTCTCCTCTTATTTTTGTAAATGTATTAATCCCATCATGAGGGCCCCACCCTCACAACCTACTCTAATCCTCATTACCTCCCAAAGGCCCCACCTCCTAATACTATCCCACTGGGGGTTAGTGTTTCCATGTATGAATTTGAGGGGAACACAAACATGTAGTCCATAACAGGGGTCTAGAGAATCTTCCACTGTGAAATAACATCATATTAACATTATCTTGGGTAAACTTGTTATCTTGACTGATCAAATACCCACGGCCATAAAGCTTTTTGTATCATATTATTAAGCAGGAGACAATTGTTATCCTAACTGATGAGGAAATTAATTTCCTGCAAGACGAACTACCCCATTATAGTCCTTAATTCCCAGTCACATGTTTTTAAAATGCTACTAGGGCAAAACTAAGGAGATGAGCCTAATATTCCAGGAAGGGAAATCAGGCTGGAGCCAGTAAGAGGGGCCACACAGGAGAAGGGGATGACCTTTACCGAATGCTCATCATGGGCTCAGCCCTTATCTCGGTGAATGAATTTGAACCTCTCTCTCTTTGTGGTGAACTCCTGGGTTGTTTGTCTGGTTGGTTGGTTGGTTTGGCTGGTTATATCTGTCACTGTACCAGGATGTCTTTATAGTTGGGTATCATTGTCATAAACAGTGACTCAGCTGCTGCTGTGTTTAAATCTTGGGGAAACTGCTGGGGACGCAAAAAGGAAAACAACCAAGTTATAAAACACAGTTCAATTGAGAATAGAAGGCATCTGCCAAAAAGAATAAGTAAAAACACATGGTTGCATTTTATTTCAAATGTTAGTGACAACTAACCATTATCTGTCGCTTACAGTGCACTTGTCATATGTTTACATACTTAAAAAAATCTTTATAACGACCTCTGTCAGGTAAACTTTTATTACCCCCATTTTGCCAGTGAGCATATAAGTCAGCTGCCCAGTCACACAGCTACCAAGGGGCTAAGGGCAGAGATGGTTCTGAAGCTGCTTCAGAACACCCTGTCAGCGGTCAGATCCCGGGCGAGCTGGAATCCCTAAAGAGGTCTGCTAGGCATGTGATTTCATAATTGACTGAAGATCATCTCTGATAACATTGTATGTGTTCCTTGATGCCCTCAGCTTGAGCTAAAATTGCAAAAGAAAAAAAAAATCACCTGTAAGATTTTTATACCCATCCTATCTCTATTAAAGATCTTACCATATTTTGCTTTCAGATTTTCAAAGGAAATAATAATATCAAAGGACACGTGAAGAACTTTTTCAACCCACCAATTATCTCCAGGTTTATCCGCATCATTCCTAAAACATGGAACCAAAGTATTGCGCTTCGCTTGGAACTCTTTGGCTGTGATATTTACTAGAATTGAATATTCAAAGACATAGGAAGGACTCTTAAATAAGATATCAAGCCATTTGGAGCGGGCAATGTATTTTATAGCTATTTTAAATGTTAATTTTCAGTATTTCCTTTTTTTCTATTAGAGAATAAAATTTTATATATGAAACTTTCATAATGTAAACTCCTTGCCACAATTCAGTGAGATGGTAACAATTAATTCTTCATTAATCTGAATATAGATGGGAATGTATCAAGAACCAACAAGCAAATGGCTTCTTTCACAATGATTAAAAATGCTACGTAAAGTAATATTTATGTAGTTAGCATGCTTCATGATAGTTCTTTTAAAACCTACACACACTAATAAAAGAGATATTACTTTTTAAAAAGCCATTTATAGACCTGGATAGCTTTCACGCCTACCTTTAAAAAAAAACAAACAAACTGTGATTTAAGAGTAAAGGAAACAAGGTTTTAAATGGTTCATTTTTTTTTTTTTTAAGACTTTTTTTTTTTTAAAGATTTTATTTATTTATTTATGAGAGAGAGTGAGTGCATGAGACGGGGGAGGGTCAGAGGGAGAAGCAGACTCCCCGCCGAGCAGGGAGCCCGATGCGGGACTCAATCCCGGGACTCCAGGATCATGACCTGAGCCGAAGGCAGTCGCCCAACCAACTGAGCCACCCAGGCGCCCCTGGTTCATTTTTCTTGACATGGAAAAAAAAAAAAAATCATACCATATGAAATAATGAGTGCTTAAAATACCCTGTCTTACCTATATGACAATGATTTTTCTGGCCCTCTATGAGTAAAGATACAGTCGTCCCAACTTGTGAATCTGGCCTGGTCTCCCTTGGAACTGATTTACTTATTGGTGTTCTGAGTGAAGGGTCTTTAGACATGGAACACAACCAAAATAACCACGGAAGAAATGAACGTGTAACCTTGGCTTCATTCTAGTTGGCACTACAATGGTATACTGTTTCAAAACATAGGTTCACCTAAGAGAAAGCTAAAACCTGCAAAACAGCATTGGAACCATTGGCCCAAAGGCAACTGTTCCTGCTGGGACTGGCAAGCCTCTGAAGCTCACCTTCAGTGCCCTTCTCTGCATGGCTCCAACCTCCTCTTCTCCCTTCCTCAACAACTTCTCCTTTCTGCACTCCCTTCCCTGGGAACTTGGCATTCAATGATCCCATAGACATTGTGAGACTGGGGAGCTTTCTGGCCTCCTTGAAGTCACGTGGAACAATCACTGGTGAGGCTATCTTTCTATGGAACAAACCACTCCAAATCTTTAATGCTTAAACAAGTTAATTCTCTCTCATGATTCTGTGGGTTAACTGGGCTCAGCTGGGTGGTTTTATGGCTGACTTCATTTGGGATCCCCAGTGAGGTTATAGTCAGACATGGCTCTAACCAGAGTCATCAGAAGGCTCAACGAAATGTTGAAACAGCTGATTCTCTGTCACACTCCATGTGGTTTCAGGTCCTCTCCTCTTTACATGGCTTCCAAATGGTCTATCCATTGGATGTCTCCAACAGGGGAGCTGGACTTCTTGTAAGGTGATTCAGGCTCTTCAAAGCAAGTGTTCACAATTTGGGAAGCAGAAAGCTAGGCCCAGAATGGCACAGCCTCACTTTGGTTAACCCAAGTCACAGGTGCATCCCAAGGAGTATAATTCACTGGGAGCATCTTTAGATACTGTCAGAGTTACCTATTGCATCTGTGGGTGGGCTGAGTCCTGTGAATGTATATAGGAGCTTCAAACATCCACAAAACATTGGCTTTCATTATTCCCACCTTTATTGAAATACATGTGACAAGTAAAATCATAATATATTTAAGTGTACAACTTGTTGATTTGGCATATGTATATGTTGTAAAATGTTTCCCATTATCAAGTTAATTAATATGTCATCACCTCATAGTTACTTTTTTGTTTTGTTTTCATCAGAATGCTTAAGACCTACTATCTTAACAAATTTCAAATACACAATACAGTATTAACAACTATAGTCCCTGTGCTATATATTAAATCCTCAGAACTTATTCATCCTATAACTGAAAGTTTGTACACTTTTACTAGCTTCTCCCCATTTCTTCCCCTGGCAACCACCCTTCTATTCTCTGCTTCTATGACTTTGATTTTTTTTTACTTCCACATACAGTGATACTACACAATATTTGTCTTTCTTTGTCTAGCTTATTTCACTTGGCATATGACCTCCAGGTTCATTCATATTGTCATAAATGGCAAGATTTCCTTCTTTTTTAAGGCATAATAATATTCCATTGTGTGTATACCATATTTTCTTCTCTTTTCTTTTTTTTTAAGATTTATTTATTTATTCCAAAGAGAGAGAGAGAGAGAAGCAGGGGGGTGGGGCAGAAGGAGAGGGGGAGAGGATCTCCAGCAGACTCCCCGCTGAGTGCAGAGCCCAACTGGGGCTTGATCCCATGACCTTGAGATCATGACCTGAGCCTCTATCAAGAGTCAGATGCTTAACCAACTGAGCCACCCAGACACCCCTGTATACCACATTTTTTTTTTAAAGATTTTCATTTATTTATTTAACAGAGATAGAGAGCACAAGTAGGCAGAGCAGCAGACAGAGGTAAAGGGAGAAGCAGGCTCTCCGCCGAGCAGGGAGCACGATGCGGGGCTCAATCCCAGGACCCTGGGATCATGACCTGAGCTGAAGGCAGTCACTTAACCAACTGAGCCACCCAGGCGCCCCCCACATTTTCTTCATTCATCGATTGGTGTACACTTAGGTTGCTTCCATAGCTTAACTATCGAGAATAATGCTGCAATGAACATGGTAATAGAGATACCTCTTCAAGCTGGTGATTTGGTTTCCTTTGGATGTATGTCTACAAATGGGATTGCTAAATAATATGATAGTTTTATTTTTAATTTCTTGAGGAAGTACCATACTGTTTTCCATGGAGGCTAGTGCCACTCACAGTGTGTATCCTTGTCATTATTTGTTTTCTCTTGTCATTTTGATAAGTCATTCCAACCAGGTGTGAGGTGATATTTCATGGTTTTGATTTGCTTTTCCTTGATGATTAGTGATGTTGAGTATCTTTTCATAAATCTGTTGGCCATTTATATGTCTTCTTCGAAAAATGTATATTCAGGGGCGCCTGGGTGGCTCAGTCAGTTAAGCGACTGCTTTTGGCTCAGGTCATGATCTTGGAGTCCCAGGATCGAGTCATACATCGGGATCCCTGTTCAGTGGGGAGTGTGCTTCTCCTTCTGACCCTACCCCCTCTCGTGCTCTCTCTCTCTCTCTCACTCTCTTTCTCAAATAAATAAAATCTTTAAAAAAAGAAAAATGTATATTCAGGTCCTTTGCCCATTTTTTATTTGGGTTATTTTGCTATTGAGTCATATGAGTCCCTTATATATTTTGGATATTAATCCCTTATTGGATATGTGCTTTGCAAATATCTTCTCCCATTCAGTAAGTTGTGTTTTCATTTTGTTGATGGTTTCTTTTTCTGTGGAAACTTTTTAATTTGATGTAGTCCCAATTGTTTATGCTTTTGGTGTCATATCCAAAAAAGTCATTGCCAAGACCAATGTCAAAGAGTTCATTGTTAATGTTCTGGGAGATTTAGAATTTCAGGTCTTATGTTTGGGTCTTTAATCCATTTTGACTTGATTTTTTTATATAAAAAAGTATCAAATTTATTTCAATATCTAGATTTATTTTTAAATTAAAGCTGATGGACAATTTTTTGTAATTTAAAATTCATACTGGGGTGAGGAAAACATTAATAAGCTATTATATACTGACAGTGAATAAAATTATTAGACTACTCATTTATAAAAGCCATGTTTAATAGTAAAAAGTTCCAGTTATACTACTTAGCTAAAGGAAATATCTTTTAACTCTTTATTTCTAATTTTGACATAATTTACCTTTTTCCCCCAATTACTAGTATGATGAACAAAATTTTTCCAAATGTTAAACTTTTACCACTTATGAAATAGGACTTAACTATTACTTTTTAAGAGTAATAGTTTTATTTTATTTCTTATCTTAAGGATAAGAGAAGTCTGAAATTTTAATTTTCACCATGAACCTGTTTGATCAGAAAGTACAGAACATCACTACTAGATAAATTAAAATGAAGAATGGAATAAAAACACAAAAGTGGCATCTATATAATGAGCAAATTATGTAATAAGATATTTTAACTACTTCACATTTCTACCTAGCACAATAAAGAATAAACTGGTTCCAAGGTACCACAAGTTTTGGCATTTTTACTGCAAGCTTTAAATCATAGTGTTATTCTACTCAACAAGACATCTCTAAGAAAATGGCAGGTTCATAAGTACAAAAATTATTCTATCTGGTAGATGGTGTTCTACATAGCCAATAAGAGAATTCTTTATAAAATGAGATTTTAAAAAGTGCAGAATGTCTGATAATTATCTCAAAGGCTAAAATGAGAAAAATGCAGAACACAGCCATTGGTTAATATGTGGCTTTGAGAAAGCCAGAAATGATTCTATTCCAAGAAATAAGCAATAATGATAAAAGATGTAAATAATATTCTATATGCCTTTTTAAGCCAAAGCATACTTTTCACCTCAGGACAGTTTTGTTTTTTACATTCTCAATTCCCTTTATCCAGAACAGGATCCCATTCTAAGCCATTATTTGAATAGAGTTCATAACGTATAGTCATTTTTCTCCACAGGATATTTTCATTTCAGAACATAAGCTGCAAAATGGCAAATGATTAAGTCAATTAAAAAGAATTTATAGCATAATAAATGCCAATTTACAGTAACTGTCAACAGACTTCTACACTAAAACCTGAAAGCTGCTAGAGTAGAGGTCACGACTAACATGATTGTTACATGTGCTCCGACTTCGTTTACAACAAATTACTGCCATAAAACCCAGAAAAGAAACCTTAGTGGGTCCTTTCAACACACCTTTGTCAAAATTAATTGACCATATATGGATAGGTTTATTTCTGGACTCTATTCTGTTCATTGATCTACGTCTCTTTTTATGCCAATAGCCTATGTTTTTTATTACTATAGCTTTGTAATGTAGCTTGAAATCAGTAAGTGTGATGCCTCTGCTTTCTTCTTCTTTCCCAAGATTGCTTGGATATTTGGGTCCTTTTGTGGTTCCATATGAATTTTAGGATTTTTTCCCTATTTCTGTGAAAAATATCGTTGGAACTTTGATACGGATTGCACCGAATCTGTAGATCACTTTGGATACTGTGAACATTTTAACAATACAAATTCTTGTAATCCATGAGTAGGGAATGTTTATCCATTTATCTATGTCTTCAGTTTCTTTCATCAGTGTTTTATAGTTTTCAGTGTACAGATATTTAATCTTCTTG